AGCAGTTTTCCAATATGTAAGGGGCTGCCACAAAGAAGAGAGCATCAGCTATTCTCCAAAGCAGTTGAAGGCAGGACAAGAAGCAATGGATGGAAACTAATCAAGGAGAGAACAAACCTAGAAATAAAGAGAACAATTAATCAGTGGAACAGCTTGCCTTCAGAAGTTGAGAATGCTCCATCATGGAAGCTTTTTAAGAAGAGTTTGGACAACCACTTGTCTGAAATGATATAGGATCTCCTGTTTGGGCAGGGTTTGGACTAGAAGACCTCCAAGATCCCTTCCAGTTCTGTTAATGTTTATTAGAAAGGTGCAATTGGTAAATCAGAAGAAAGGTACTCCATGCTGATGAGGTCACTGGAGCCTCAACAAATGATGCATTTACAACCATCCCTAAACTGCAAACCTATTCTTTTAGCATGAGTACAGACCATTCCAGTACCAGAGGAACATCATTTAACTGGACAGATACGACACTCATAAACAGTACCTCTATTTTGTCTAGAGTCTTGTCTTGTTACAGTCTGCTAACCTTCCACAGCACTATTTATTACGTACTGCATGTTACAACATCTCAGCTCACATCTCCAGAAAGCCACTCCCAGCAGCTTCACATAGATGTAAGAAGATAAGATGGGATCATAACAGACTCCAAAGCCCAAATGCTATGAGTCAGAAGAATAACCTCCCAGCACCTTCTTCTGGAAATGACCATCTAAGTCAGATCAAATAAAACCAACCTTTATTGTCAGAGTACAACATGTGTACAATGACATTGGCTGAGTCTCCCTTCGTGCACACCCACAACACAACTCACAGTGAAGACAAAAAAGAAAAAAATCCCTAAACCAGTGAATTCTACTAACAAACACGCTATCTATACATCATAGTAGGAGTCACACCAGAGTCACTTGTTGAGATGGGCAGCCATAGGAATGGAATAACTAAATAAAGCTGCTGCCATTCCAGGAGGATACCATGGTCAGTGGTATTAAAAGCTGCTGACAGGTCCAAGAGGATCAACAGAGTCACACTCAGCTTGTCCTTTTCCTGACACAGTTCACAGGATGACTTTACACTAGTTTCTATTCAGTTTCTTGCCAAGTCTGCAAGTGGTTTGAAATGGATCTAGAAAATCAGTTTAAACCAAGACAACCTGGTTGATTAACCATCATGATACAAAGAGATATGCTGTATATACTGCATGGTTGCCTGTTATGTAACAGGTAGCAGATTAAAAGTGTTAATATAATTGTTGGTGTAAAATTAGGGGTGGGATGGGGAGAGAACCACCAATTCCTTCTCAGGTTGCTTGCATCCTACTTTTACTAAGAAAAATAATAGCCCAGCCCACATCCTTAAGTGGGATATCTTAAGATACTATACAATAAAGCTCCCAAACTTTCTTCTTTAACTTACCTAGTTAAGAAACTGGACTTTTTTGAGCAGTGACCTTACTAAACTTAAGCAAAAATATTTTTATTGATCAATTTAAACAATTCATATAGCTGCCCATTTCCCAATGACTAAATGGTAAAAACCAAATAAGAATACAATATAAAATGAATACCTAGGATAAACAATATGTAAGGATTCATTCAAAGTCTATCCAAAGACTGGAACTCACACATTCTTAACCCTGCTTAATCTTCCAATCCAAAATCCTGAGGCAATTAGGTCTCTAGTGCCTTATGAAAGACCAACAGGATCAAGACCATTCTCAATCTCTAGGCTAACGTTGTTACAAGGGCAAGTGCTGTGGCAGAGAAAACATGATTCGTAGGCCTCATAATATGTCAGTGCTGAATAGATGAGCTCTGGAGCATGGCCACTCTGCTAATTTTGGTGGTATGAGCAGAGATAATTGAAACAAGCAGACCCACAAATAATGTCCTTTGCTATGTAGGGTTTTATGGATGATCATCAGCCCCTAAAACTGCACCCAGAAGCCTTCTGGGAGCCACTGCAGCTCACAGATCAGAATAATATATGAGTATATTGTGAAACTCCCAAAACTGCCTGCCTTACTGCATTCTGGACTAATTCAAGGGCAACTCAGTATAGAGTGTATTACAGTCGTCCAAACTCCTAACTCAGAAAACAGCACGATTGTTGCTCAAGAAGAACTTTTTTTTCAGTAGGAGCTGTGAGTCCAGGAAGCCTCAAAAATTGCTCATCCAGATCCCCAGAGCTTCCAGATATCAAGAAAAACCCTCAACAACATTATTTGGCTGATCCGAGATGGATATGCATAATTGCCAATGTACTGGTGATGCCTTACCCTGTGATGCCTCGCCCTGTGTCTAAAGGTGACTTTGCTCAGTGGCTTCATGTAGAGATTTTTAAAAAGTAGGGAGAGGGTAGCAGAGTCTTAAGTTCAGCCTTTCCATACCCTTTTCCATCATCATAACTGGAAAGGCCCTGGGGAAATGAGGAAACTATTATAATATTGTACATCTTATAGGAAATACAGGCACATCCTGATCGTTCAAACTGATTGCAGATTTCTTTGCCCTGGTGAATATCTTCTGAAAACCAGAGAATCTTGATAAATATCATGGTCTCTTTTTCACTGTAATCGACAATATGCTTATATTGGAGAAGAAGGTTAAGTAACTGTAAGCCTAGGACAGGATGTACAAATCCATTCCTCTTTCTATTGAGAAAAAGAACCATTGAAACAATGTAGTTGTTCGAAATTTTGAAGGCATGCCTTTTCAGTGGCCTCTGCTGAAGGTCCCTGCTTTTTGGAATAGTGTTCTGATATGGGTGGCTGCAATAGCTGAATAAGCCAAATAAATTATAGCAAATTACAGTCATGGTCGCTATTTTATTGTTTCAGCAGGTCTCTTTTAACGTACAGGTTGCTTTTGTTTTGTGTTTGTTGATTATTTTTGTATATAATCCAGAATCATGTTGAATTGGGCAGACATAAAATGTCCCAAATAAATTAATCATAACAACAGATAATCAGAGTTGGAAGGGACCTTGTAGGTCATCTAGTCCAACCCCCCACCCAAGCAGGAGACCCTACACCATTTCTGACAAATGGCAGTCCAATCTCTTCTTGAAAGTCTCAAGTGATGGTGCTCCCACAACTTCTGAGGGCAAGCTGTTCCATTGGTTGATTGGTCTCACTTGCAGAAAGTTTCTCCTTATTTCCAGGTTAAAAGTTTCTCCTTATTTCCAAGTTAAAATATTAAATATTTTAAATAATATGAAATATTATGGAAATAATAAGTATCCTTAATGTAGGGATTGATGAGAGGTTTCCATTTAGCCTACTTCATCTTATACATTTTGGTTTATTTCTTGCTTTTTAAACCAAATAAAGTACAGACAAGAATGGACAGATCTCTGTCCTTCCAAAGCTTTCAGAATGATTTTGAAAGTTGTCACATGATCACATTGTATGAAATCCTGCTTATAATATTTCAGAAAACTTGGAGTACATGTTTTTAAAAAATGTGCAGGTAGGGAAAATAGGAATTGGGTAGTAATATAATGAAACCATTGAATTATGCAAAGTTGGGGCATCAGTCCAGATGGGTTTTTTTTAAAGTTTTTGAGAGGATGGCTTATTTTCTTGCATTTGTTTCTTCAGGTCTGTGAAACCTGAATAAGTTTTACACACTATTTTGTTCTTCAACTGAAAATATATGGGAAATGTTATCAACATTTCTCAATGCTAATACTATGGCATATGAGTTTGGGAGCTTCATGTAACCGATAACCCACAATATTAAATGCTTTATATTGAGGTGTTTTATATTTCTATTAAACAACATGTGACCCATTAAACAACATGTAACCCAATCCTTTCATAGATATTTCCTTACCTAAACAGAGAAATAGAATGACTATGGGTAGGCAAAAAGGAATGGGAGCATTAGCAATTATCACCTTGCTGCTGGCTTCTCCATTTTTATCACCTTCCTGCTGACTTCTCCATTGATGTTGCTTGTGAGAAGTTGGCAGGGAGTATAAGACATCAGACCTCCTCCTCCTCCTCCTTGACTGACCCAGGGCACTGTATGCCACTTTGCTGGGGGAAGGGGGAACAAAAGGAGCCATGAATCATGAGGAAAACTATCCCTGCTTCACAACTGGGTCTGTCCCTAAGGGCCCTCTCCCTACAGGGAGGAAGAGGACTCACCCATCAACTACCAAGCCACCTCAGCTAGGCCTATCTTGCCAGCAGCATCCAAGTTGCTTCCTTGTCCTTCCCTCATGACCCACTGCTATTAAGAAATATCAAATTTCAACCTCAGTTGCAAAGCAGCCAACCCCAACCAGCTGATTGCAAGCAGGGATTAGAGAGGCAGGAAAGGCGACAGGGATACTTCCCTCCCATCTTATCTTGTTCCACACAGTCTATGGGTTTCTGAGAAATGTGGTCTGTTGGCATTGTGGTGCAGAAGCAGCCACAATTTTTCCAAATTTCATTCCTGTAGGAGTCATAGATTCTGGCATTCTGTAACTTAGTTCATCTGAATTATCTTAGTTCAATAGTTGTTGTCCTATTCTCCCAGTTGAACGGTACAAACAAACACTCAAAGGTATGTTATTATATAAACAACCATATAATTTCTATTTAGATTTCATTACCCAAAATTGGTTATAAATTTGGTCATACAATGTTTACATCTCTCAACTAATTATTGGAAAAATTAACCTTATGTCCCAGAAAAAATGTGAGAGACCTGGTAAGAACATGAGGTGGGAAGATCTCAGTTCAAATTTTATCTAAACTGTGAATTTATGAGATGTGGTCTTACCTTTAATCTTTTTTCTCTTTTTTGTTATTTGTTTAAAATGAATAACATTTTTGTAACGGTGTTAGGGAAGGTTTATGGAGGTGCTAATTAAGTAGTTGGGGAGTGTTACATAAAAATAATTATAATATGTGGCTGGTGTAAATTGGTCTTATAAGCTATTAAAATGTGAAAATACTTCTGAGCCGTGTTTTAATTAACTCAGTTTCCCCCTCTTTCTTTCAGAATTTTTGTGGATGCTTCCTTTATTCAGAACTTGGAAGAAAACCTGCCACTTTTTAATGGCTGCCGCTGCTGGATGATCATCTGAAACTCTTAATAGAAGAGAAAATATTGCCAGATGGTTTTCTGTAGGCTTTTTGTAAATGAGTGAAGGAAGAAATGCCTCTACCTTTTGGGCTGAAGTTGAAACGAACTCGACGCTATACAGTATCTAGCAAGAGCTGCTTGGTAGCCCGCATTCATCTACTTAACAATGAGTTTGTGGAGTTCACACTATCGGTGGAAAGCACTGGGCAGGAAAGTCTGGAGGCTGTGGCACAGAGACTTGAACTTCGAGAGGTAGGAAACATGGCTGTTGGCATCTCCACCTTGGAATATAAGAGGATTAAAAACTAAATTGTAGTAGGTCAGATTCAATTTTAAATTTACCCTATTACTATTACTATTGTCTGCTATCTACAATATGTATTCAAGTGTATTGAACAAACAGCAATCTTGTCACCTGTCACACAATTATTTTTGACTGAAAGTAGCAGGAATTTGAACCTGATCTTTTATGCACAAAACAAAGCAGGCTTTCCGTCAGTGATGTAGAGTTCCTCCATCTTTCTGCACAATGGCTTCTCTAGCATTATTTGGTTTTGACATTGTTCATTGCCCAAAGTCAATTGGATTGAGATGGGCAGCTATAGAAATTGAATAAATAAATAAATAAAGCATTCACATAAACAAAACTGGATTTTGCAATTAAAAAATATCTCTACAAGTGTACCCACATGTAGCAAAAGCTATAAAGAATCTTCACTAATAATGGGTTGTGCTATAAATACCTGAGAGATTATACTTAGATTGCCTGGAGTAATAAGGTTACAGTCTAGGAACAGATAATATTAAAAACAAGAACAGAAATAGAAACAAATGTATTCTTAACTTTAACAAGAGCAGTTCCATTGAAATGAAGTAATGCCTTAATTACCTGTGAAGTGTGTAGTGATTATAATATATATCTAACAACATTCTGCTTCATATTTACACTCTCCAATGAACATCACTGACATGGTTGTTTGTACTGTCTTGAGTTCATTAAAATTTTAGTAATTATCAGTACATAATTGTTAATTCAACAATTGGGCAAAATGTTGCGCTACTATCCCATTATTATTTTGTTCAGTTTTCCAACCAATGAGCCAGCTGTATTTTTTTCAGCATATTCAACTCCCACTCTGAACAGATTACAGACCGATATTGATAACACCAAATGCGTTAAATACAACAGGTGGGGCTCTTTAGATTTATTTGCCTCTGAATATTTTTCTATGTTTATAAGGGTAAATATTAGAGTTCTGTCTCTTGTTTTTCAGTAATTTATTTTTCATTAGCTAATTAGTCCCAAAGGTGCTTTTTTCAAGAGACACCTGGACTTTCTGGTTTTTCTTTTTTCTTTGAAAATGTTTCGCTTCTCATCCAAGAAGCTTCTTTAGTTCTGATTGGATGATGAGGAATGGAAGGATTTATACTCCTTGCAGACAGTGGACATTTGCATTCTTTTAGCAGGTCGTTAATGTCACCTGGAGGTTTATCTGTGTCATCAGGGTCACCTGAGTACTACAAATTGGTGTGGCACCTTCTTGGAACTGTTGAAAGGACTGTGTTGGAGAGAGATGATGTCGTTTCTCATCCCCTCTGTTGACAGAGGGCTGTTCAGTTTTGACACAGATGGCTTCTTTAGCCCCTCTTTCAAACCAGCAATCCTCTCTGTCCAAAATATGGACTTTGTTGTCTTCAAAAGAGTGGCCTATGTCTTTCAAATGCAGATGGACTGCTGAATCTAGTCCTGATGTGTTTGTTCTCCTATGTTGTGCCATGCGTTTTGATTCCCACCACCCACCGCAGCACAAAATGGAAGTCATCAGAACCTTACATCACCAAGCTGAAGGCCTGCCTAACAGCAAAGGTGGAAAGAAAAACAATGTAAACATATCAAGGAAGCCCTCAGAACATGTGGCTATCCCAAGTGGGCCTTCATCAAATCCCCCCAAAAACCCTATAGGAGCTCTTCTGTAACAGACAATGATGAGAACAGTAAAGGAAGCAACATTGTCATTCTGTACATTGCAGGCATATTAGAAAAGCTCAGGAGGATCTTTAGTCAACAAAGGATACATGTACACTTCAAACCCAAGAATACACTAAAGCAGAAGTTTGTCCACTCCAAGGATAAAACACTCAGACAGAAACTGAGCAACGTGGTATATGCAGTACAATGCAATGAGCCATGTGCAGATCTATACATTGGTAAAATGAAATAACCACTTCATAAACGCATGGCACAACATAGGAGAACAAACACATCAGCACTAGAGTTTTCTACTATGACCAGATATCTTGTCTGTCTGAGGGGATTTGTTTTTAAATTACATTTTATTTCTACTTTATCCTAAGGAGCCTAGGAAAGCATACCTTTAAAATACAAGGTAGATTAGGCTGAAGGAGAAACTTTGATTTAAGGTAATATAAAAAATATAAACCATGCTTATCAGTAAATAGAATGTAATCTAAACCAAGACTGATATGAGGATGTCGAGATAGTCTCTTGCCTTGACACATTATTAGTAAATGTAATGTGAACTTGTGAACCTTAGTGTTTCTAGGTACCGGTTAACATTTCTCTTCAAAACATAATATATGAAATATTATGAAGAGGACATTATCTAATACATTCTATTGTATGGTTATATTTCCTACTTCTAGATTTGTATTTTGGTTCAAGTTAGTAAAAAATAGGTCACAAATTAGTGAAGAAAATTCTTTTTTTGTCTTTGTGGCTTATTTTGTTACAAGTGTTTATTGGGAGCTTTAAAAAATATTCTGGGAGCAGATATTTCTAGCAGTCCCAGTACTGTGGACTATTTATATCCCACATTACATGTTTCTAATTAGTTGGCAAAGTTAATAGCCTTATAAGTAAGTGAGACACTGAGTCCTGACATTTTTGAGCAATTGCTTAAAGTAATTACATTATGCAATCATAAATGCTTGCTTCTAGAATACTAGGACTACACTACATCACATGATAAGCCGTTCTGAAAGATAAACAGATTCCTGTGGTTATTTGAACTTAAAAAGCTAGTTGTAGGAATTGAGGTCCCCCACCCCCTTGCCTTGTTTTTGCTAATCCCCCTTCATCTGAGGCTGCTTGAGTCAATCTCCAGCAGCTGATGTTTTGGATTACTTTTGTGAAGCAATTTGTTATGTGGTTTGAACTGTTTAGAGTATAGTGTGAAAATATCTTAACAATACTTGGAAATATTTTATATTCTCAGTTTCAAGAAACATAACTTAAAATATCCATCTAGTTAGAGTCTTCTTAGTTATCAAGATTAAGTAAATACATTGTAACAGTCTTAATACCATTATCAAAGAATGAATCAGTACAATATTGTGCTATATATATATATCAGTCACATAGCCATTCACATGCTTTGCAACTGGCATGCAATTTCACAGGTAAAAACTGTAAGTTCAGGCACGGTTCACTTAGTAATTGCATTACTTTACTTCATGATCAAAGGGGAAGTAAGGTGTAAGCCTAGTCATGGTCACATGACTTTCAGCTGAGTGACCAAGTTGCTAGTCCCAATAGTGCTCACTAAGCAAGGACTAGCTGTAGTAAGAGAGAGATATGTATCTGCATGTCAGATTGTTACTGTAATAGATCACGATCCCAGCTTGAATAATTGACTATCCTAATGCAGAGCAAGTGTAGATACACACAGACTCTACAGCAGCGGTCGCCAACTGGTGGGCCCACTGGTGGGCCATGAGAAAATTTTGGTGGGCTGCAGAGAAATCTCACCCCCAGAGCACCCCCCCCAAAGCAATTAATCCAGGCTGCACAGAAACACAAGGCTGCGCCACCCCCATGGCCTGCAGGAACCCTCCCCGCCCACTCACTCCTTACCTGGCAAACTTGCCTGCTAAATTACTATTTTTCCTTTTTCCGACCATCAAGTGTTGGGTTGGATTTCTTGCTTTCTAGCTAGTCTTTAGAACTTTGGCTGTGCTTTTAAGCACAGTCAAACCTCCCTTAGGACTGAAGGTTCTATTATTCAGTGCAGACTCACGGCAAGCAAATTTGAGAGACTGAGCTAGCCGATGGCAGATAGATCACTGAATGGTTCTGTGAGCAACTCAATCTGCCTGCCTCATTTGCCTGATTTTGGGTAAAAGTTGCTCTTTTTTAAATAAAAAAATTCAATATTTACATACACGGTGTGTTGTGAGTTAATTTTGTGAGTTTGCTTGCTAGCAAATTTTGTGTGACAGACTCAGATAGCCGATTGCTGATAGATAGATCTCTAAGTGAATCTGTGATTCTGTGAGCAACTCAATCTGCCTGCCTGCTTTGCCTGTTTTTGGGTAAAAGTTGCTCTTTTTAAATAAAAAATTAAATATTTATATAAATATTTATAATATTTACATACAAGCCATGCCCAGCCAGTCACATGACCACCAAGTCACACCTACAAATTAGGCCATGCCCACAGAACCAGTTAGTGGTCCCTGGGATTTAAAATTATGACTTTGGTGGTCCCTGAGGTCCAAAAGGTTGGTGACCCCTGCTCTATAGTACCTAGGCATGGCTGAGAAATGCTAAAAAAGATCTTGCACATCATTTAAGTGAATTCAAAAGAGATGTAAGTGAAGTCAAATATAGTGTAGAAAGTTACAGATTAAATTGGGTTTGCAAACTTTGCAGCACCACCACGTCTGAAAATGACAAAACTATGTGAGAAGAAATGTACCTGCTCTCAATAATTTTCAATCTGTATAGCAAATGAAACAATGATAGAATCTTAACAACATAGAATCAGTTTGGTATAATAGTTAAGGCATCATGGTAGAAACCAACAGGAGTTTTAGTCTTGCCTTAGGCACGAAGCCAGCTGGGTAACCTGGGGCCAGTCATTCTCAGCCCTAGGAAGCAGCCAATGGCAAACCACTTCTGAAACATTGCCAAGAAAATTATAGAGACTTTCCAGGCAGTTGTCTAGAGTCACAAAAAAAAAACACTGGCTCAAAAAACACTTTCCATTTGAAGTGAAAAACAAAGCAACTAAATTCAGAACCATACCACTTAATCTAAAGGATCAGCCTGCCAGTCTGTACAACTCCTGAAATACAGATTGTGCTTTCAAGGTACCTATTCGCTTCCTTTCTCTCCACCCTTACCTTGGAACAATATCTGTTATTTACAGCAACAGCTATGTGGGATCCTGACCTGCCCAAGCAGAGTGGGAACAAACTCTGGCAGTAATTTGCCCCCAGCTGTGCATCTCTGCAGCATTGTGCCAGAGCCCTTCTATGTCATCTTAACATTGATCCAGCCATGATTACAGTCAACTTAGGCTTCCATGGCTAGATCTCTGTGGATCCACATTGAAGAGGTGTCAGATCAGATTCCTATTCTGCCTAGAGAAATGCCTGCCTAGGTTGATTGGGAACAAATTCTTGTGCTCCAAACCATTTCTGGCATCCCCCTTAAATCTGTTCATGAACATTGCCCACTAAAAAATGTTTGTACAAGGCACATATAAACATGAGGCAGATATAAGCATAATTCCTTTTACCCATTTGACAGAGCAGTGTTTTTTCAGCTGTACTTGTTGAAGTACAGCTCCTAGTACCTCCAGCTAACCATTGCCAATTATGAGGAATTCTAAAGAACTTGTGAGAGATTCTTCTCACACTGATAGAGTCTGCAGGTATTAAAACAGGGAACACATGCAGACTTCTTCATGGAAGAGGCAAGTTTCTAGCCCACTGCATTGAAACAAAAATGAAAAAATGAACAAGCGTTTTGCCTGTTTCAACTGCCTCTGTGAAAGTATTTAACTTGAAAGTAATCACTGGAATTTTGGGGTTATAACTGTTAACCTTCCTTCTAATAAACATATTTCACAAAACTCCGAGATTGCTTCTTGAATTAACTATTTTGAAGCAGCCAAGAATGAAGTCTGACACAGTTATAGTTTCAGCATTAAGTGGAGAGCCTTAATCCCTTCACACTCATTACTGAACTACTTATGTCTATAGAAAGTTCTGAAGTGGAAGAAGAATATCACACAGATTTTGATAACAAACTAGCTGTTAGTGTCATGAGACAAGAGAATTTTTCACGTACTTTCTTTTTTGGAGGAGGAAGATTCATGTCAATTAGAGCACCTGAAGTTATACAATCATATTACTGGCAATGAGGTGATTTACATGAGATAATTGTTTACATAGCTGTGGTATAATGTTTTGGCCATTTTAGGTTTGGTTAAATTGTGAATTAATTTCAACAGGATTTAAGTATACTGGTTGGTGAAGTTCTATATGCAAAATATTCATTAACTTGACAGATTAGCAGAATGCTAAGAATCATGCCTAATTTTCAAAGTACACTGCTCAAAAAAATAAAGGGAACACAAAAATAAGACATCCTAGATCTGAATGAATGAAATATTCTTATTAAATACTTTGTTCATTACATAGTTGAATGTGTTGACAACAAAATCACACAAAAATTATCAATGGAAATCAAATTTAGCAACCCATGGATTTGGAGTTACACTCAAAATTAAAGTGGAAAAAATCACTACAGGCTGATCCAACTTTGATATAATGTCTTTAAAACAAGTTAAAATGAGGCTCAGTAGTGTGTGTGGCCTCCACGTGCCTGTATGACCTCCCTACAATGCCTGGGCATGCTCCTGATGAGGTGGCAGATGGTCTCCTGAGGGATCTCCTCCCACACCTGGACTAAAGCATCCCCCAACTCCTGGACAGTCTGTGGTGCAACGTGGCGTTGGTGTATGGAGCGAGACATGATGTCTCAGATGTGCTCAATTGGATTCAGGTCTGGGGAATGGGTGGGCCAGTCCATAGCATCAATGCCTTCGTCTTGCAGGAACTGCTGACACACTCCAGCCACATGAGGTCTAGCATTGTCTTGCATTAGGAGGAACCCAGGGCCAACTGCACCAGCATATGGTCTCACAAGGGGTCTGAGGATCTCATCTCGGTACCTAATGGCAGTCAGGCTACCTCTGGTGAGCACATGGAGGGCTATGCAGCCCCCTAAAGAAATGCCACCCCACACCATTACTGACCCACTGCCAAACCGGTCATGATGGAGGATGTTGCAGGCAGCAGAACATTCTCCACAGCATCTCCAGACCCTGTCACGTCTGTCACATGTGCTCAGTGTGAACCTGCTTTCATCTGTGAAGAGCACAGGACGCCAGTGATGAATTTACCAATCTTGGTGTTCTCTGGCAAATGCCAAATGTCCTGCACAGTGTTGGGCTGTAAGCACAACCCTCACCTGTGGACGTCAGGCCCTCATACCACCCTCATGGAGTCTGTTTCTGACCGTTTGAGCAGCCACATGTACATTTGTGGCCCGCTGGAGGTCATTTTGCAGGGCTCTGGCAGTGCTCCTCTTGTCCCTCCTTGCACAAAGGTGGAGGTAGTGGTCCTGATGCTGGGTTGTTGCCCTCCTATGGCCTCATCCATGTCTCCTGATGTACCGGCCTGTCTCCTGGTAGCGCCTCCATGCTCTGGACACTACGCTGACAGACACAGCAAACCTTCTTGCCACAGCTCGCATTGATGTGCCATCCTGGATGAGCTGCACTACCTGAGCCACTTGTGTGGGTTGTAGACTCCGTCTCATGCTACCACTAGAGTGAAAGCACCGCCAGCATTCAAAAGTGACCAAACCATCAGCCAGAAAGCATAGGAACTGAGAAGTGGTCTGTGGTCACCACCTGCAGAACCACTCCTTTATTGGGGATGTCTTGCTAACTGCCTATGCTTTCCACCTGTTGTCTATTCCATTTGCACAACAGCATGTGAAATTGATTGTCAATCAGTGTTGCTACCTGAGGGGACAGTTTGATTTCACAGAAGTGTGATTGACTTGGAGTTACATTGTGTTGTTTAAGTGTTCCCTTTATTTTTTTGAGCAGTGTGTTATACATTTGTTCTAGGTTTTGAAAGACCTAAAACTAAGAAGAAATTTCCTGACAGAACAATTAATCGTTGATATGACTTGCCTCCAGAAATTATGGGTTTTAAAGAAGAGATTGGACAACTAATTGTCTGAAGTGGTATAGGATTTCCTGATTAAGGAGATGGTTGGACTAGAAGTTGTCCATGGTCCCTTCTAACTCTCTTATTCTGACATATCTCCCTAAGGAATAAATAATATTGTACTACTAGTTTTTCCACATTGCTTTTTTCCTGTATTCATGTATTTTGCACTAGTCCAATCCATTGTTAAACATTCCCACAACTGGTATTCTTAGATTGAACATCTATGCTGTTTGTTGAGCAGATCAGAAAAATTGCAATTAATGGAATATAATTATGTAAAAATCTGTCTAGGGTTGATTTACTTCCTGGAAATTGAATGAAGAGTAATTTTTAAAAAAATCTTACAACAGCATTATTCTTGAATGCTTAAAATATTTCTAGAGTTATGTCAGCTTTCTGTAGGACTGGCATTTGTCTTTTGCTAATGTTAGCAATTTGTTTAGACATGATTAAAATATTATTGCCTTTTAATATATTTCACACTGCAAGATTCTTAAATGAGCACCTGAAGCAAAACATACAATTGCAGCTATGAATGTGTACCGGAAAGAGCATATTTTATTCATGTGGAAACTCCTGCTATGAATTATCTAAGCATCCAAAATTGATACCTTTTCCTTTATAGTTCTAGATTGCTATAGAGAGAAATGAGTATGTATCATGTTTATTTTGTAAAGACAAGGATTTTTTAAGGGACTTTTTTCAAATGATAAAGGTCTGTGTTTGATTTGTTTTACATGATGATCATGCTGCATATGTAAACATGAATTAAAGATATGCCCTGTTCTAGGCTGATTTCTTAGACTTGTTTATTGTATATAAAAGAATAAAAGGACAATATCTGCCCTTTGTGATATACCTTTTTAACATGTCACATGGTTCCTTTTCATATTTTCCTTTTAGATTACCTATTTTAGCCTTTGGTATTTCAACAAGCAGAACCAGCGCAGGTGGATAGACTTGGATAAGCCTCTCAAAAAGCAACTGGATAAATATGCATTGGAGCCAACTGTGTTCTTTGGTGTGGTGTTTTATGTGCCTTTTGTCTCTCAACTTCAGCAGGAAATTACCAGGTGAATCTTGTAAGCTTTCATAGAATAATTCTAAATATAAAGTAACTACATTTTACATGGCCCTATTGAATCTGATACCAGTTGTTTTCCTATATTCTTTACTATAGATTAGTCCTTCTGGATCTGAACAAAAATCTTTTTGATTAATAATGCATATTATTTCTTTCAAGGGCAGTGGATTTTAGCTCAGATAAACACAAGTAGATTTCCTTTCGTACGTGATAAAAAATGTTATCTTACTAAGCTGCTGAGTGAAGTCTCAGATTTGATGTTGAAGTTCTTGGTTGCTTTTTGTCCTAGAAAATAGGAGAAAATACACTGGGATGGCATTATTTGGGAAGCATTGGTTTACACTGCATGGGATGACTTAAGAATCCAGAGTCTAAGATTTACTTAGAGATGTCAAATATTGAATGTGAACAAGCATTTTACTTTTTATTTTTATTTTTTGGTTAAGTTTTGCATATCTTTGTCACTGAATATTATCAATTTCATGGATGCTTCTTTCATAAATGGAGGAAGGGTGTTGATCAGAGTTAACAAACAGTACCAATGTTTGAAATCTAGTTATTTCACAAGCATAGTCATCCATCATGTGATTTGATGTGTCACAATTCACATTTAAAAATCTTGGAAGTATGATTGAATCGAAGCAATTTACCATGGAAATGTGGGCTGCTATTTTTACTGAGCAATGTGAGAGATTATTATTATTTGTAGGAAATTATATACTACTAAAACATTTATAACTGTAACTTTCAATTTCATGAAACAGTGTGGCATCAGGCAGCAATGTTTGAATCAAGGTGTTTCAAATGGGCTAAATTATAGAATGTTTAAAAAATCTGGGACCTATTATTTCTGTGGGATTGAAATTTGGAGAAGTTGGGCTGCTTTAGCACTGCCATGCCATAGTGTTATTTCCAGTGCATCCTGCTAGCTTCTCAAAAGAAAAGCTTATGGGGAAGCCTGCAGGAAGTCTGAAGTTCCAGGTCAGCAGATAAGTATCTGGTAACAGGTGGGAAGGTAGTGAGTGGATGCACAGAGGTGGCACTATGCGGGTCAGAGACAATGTGTGAAAAGTGCCATGCAACTTGGGGAGTATATTCTGGGGCATGTGAGAGATGCCATAAAGATTGAGGAGGATGTGCAAGAGACAGTATAGTTTGGGGAGGTTGTGTGAGCTGTGTAAAGGGTGCCCTCTTGCTTGGGGAGGTTACACATGGGTATGGTGCAAGTTAGATAAGTGTTGTGCGGGTGTGAGTGAGGGCAGAAGGTTAGGGATGCATGAATAAATTAGTAAATATCTCTGAAAGATTACCCAACAGACTATGAATTGTCTAGTTGCTAGTAAATATGATACAAGTAACCAAATCTATAGGAGTTATTACTTTTTCTTACTAACAGACTGTATGTTGAAGAGACTTCAGCATCAAATCTGGGACATCCTTCACCAGTTTAGATTATATAACAATTTTATAGAATAGAAGGCCATGTGCAACAAAGACTATTTTCTTTACCTAGTTCAAGCTCAGACATGAAATCTGAATCTGTCGGAAGAATTTAATAGTATACTAATGGATTTAAGTGATACTTCTTCTCCAACTGATAAATTTTAATGAAGGATGGAATTAGATAAGGCTTAAAAATGGAAATACAAAGAAAGAAATGGTAATGTAGGCTAATTTGTAAGTTAGTAGAAGTGTAATGAAGGGAATGTGTGGAGGATCTATGAGTAAAGAAAAAGAATGTTGCACTTGAGATCCTTGTGAGTTAAGGATTTAATATCAGATGGGGAACATTACCTTAATAGTTTCACTTGTTTATTATTTAGATACAAGGGAAGTTGGCTTCTGCAAAGTCACGCTACTGATTCCAAAATTACTAACTTGCTCAGCAGTTCTCTGGAATCTCATATACTGATTTTTCATATTGCCTGCTGCTTTTTGTTTGTTTGTTTGTAATGAAAAAACTATGGACTGAATCTGGAATTTCTGCATATACTCCTCTACTAAATTACAATGCCTGGCCTACCATGTATCATATCATATGCATATATCAGCTTATATAATATTATTTTATTTATATATCCTGTTTTTCCCCATATGTTGAAAGTGTTATACATACTTCTTGTTCCATAGAATCATATCAGCGAAACATAATTTCAGGCCCCAACTTGTGTACAATCAACTGTTGATAGCTGAGAAGTAGTAGCATCTTTGTATAGGCATATAAGTATGTACATATATATACATCATAGAATGTTTTTGACTATGTGCATTTTCATAAACCGGAGGCATTTGAAAAACATTTTTCCCCATAGATATCAGTATTACCTACAACTAAAGAAAGACATCTTGGAAGGAAACATACCTTGCACTTTTGAACAAGCAATTCATCTTGCTGGCTTAGCTGTTCAAGGTAATTTCCACGCTTGCAATCATGTTTAGCTTATTTAGGAGGAAGGGATTTATATCAGTGCTTGAATGACAGTGCCAGAAAGTCACAAAAGCTGGTTGCATGACGCTGGGATACTCCAAGTGTTATAAATATGAACCAGTTATCAAGGTTTTGAATTTTGATCATGTGACCATGGGGATGCTGCAACAGTTGTAAGTCTTCTTAAAAGCAATCTGAAGTCACTTTTTTCAGTGCCATTTTAATTTTGAACAATGTTTTAAGTCGAGGACTACCTGTATATGGTACTACTCTTGAAGACTACCTGGAAACTTCAGATGGTGCAGAATGCAGCTGTATTTGTACTAATGGGAATGTCCCAACATAATCATATAATACCAACATTATGCATCCTCTACTAGTTACCAATTTGTTTCTTATGGCAGTTTAGGGGCTGGTTATAAGTTATACTTTCCTATGCAAGTCAGAAATTGGGTATTATTGAGACTGCCTCCTGCAGGCAGAATTTGCCCATCCCAAAATATGCAGATTGAAAAAGTTTACTAAGAGTTCTTTCCTCACAAATCACAGGAGAATTGGAAGCAGTCATTCTCTGCCAGACCTTCGTCCGGGTTATATAGTTTTGTAGGATGCTTAGATTTACTTGATTGAAGCAGGAAAAATACTTCTTTGAGTGAATAAATAAGTAAGATATATCCCATCTGGTCTGCAAAAATCTAGATGACCACTAGATCTGAGATTATAGAATTCTTTTTGTATTTCTTTGCTACAGTGGCAGATTAAGGCTCACTGGTGCCTTAAGCACTGACAAATCTTGGTGCCCCCCCCCCCTTGTATATACTGTACAAACTAAGCCATATTCTCAACTTTGTGGTGACCCCTTTGGGCGTGGTGCCCTAAGCACATGCTTAGTCTGCTTAATGGTTAATACATCACTGCTTTGCTACCTTCTAGTGGTTATCTCTGCTGTGAGTCAGGGGGCTTTAGTTAGAGAACAGCATGTTCTCAGTCACCTAGTACCTCAAGAAACAGATAATTTTAATAGTAATAATAATGTTGCAAGTATGCCCTGATATTGATATTTGAAATGTTGGATGTATGAAGATTCCTATTAATAATATTTTTGCATGATACATAATACATAATACATAAGTATTATAGAAAAGATTGGCAAAAAAGATGAATTGTTGGCATGGGAATGGGGAGCCATGAATATTCATTTTATTTTCTGTTATACTTTACATGCTCAGAGCAATAATATTGTGCTATATAGAATGTTAATTTTGTCAGCGGGATAGAAGAAATGCAAGACAATAATTTATGTGATAAACATTCTGCCTTTTGTATTTATCCCAGCTGACTCTCAAATCATAGAGATTCAGCAAATAATTACTTAATTGGACATATATATCATGCAATAATTTAGCTTTCTACACTTCTGTTTCTAAATAAGAAAACAGGAAGTTGTAACATATCCATTTGTATTGTTTATATGACTTATGGGAGTTTGGATAGGAATTTTCTCTATGCATGCAATAATTATTTGTGGCCTATTGCTCATCGGTCAAATAATGCTTCATCACTAACAGAATTACTTTCCAACATAATTATATGTTAAGTATTTCATTTCTGCTTGTTTCTTTTTAATTCCTCAGCTGATTTTGGGGATTATGACCAATATGAATCACAAGAATTTCTACAGAGATTTGCCTTGTTTCCTGTGGTAAGGATGGTCCAGTTTTGTCTTTCTCTCATGTTTGGAGATATTTAAAAGGCAGATTAAAAATAAAATAAAATCAGTCCTGCCTGCTGATACAGGTAGTCCTTGACTTATGAGCACAATTGAGCCCAAACTTTCTGTTACTAAGCATGACAATTGTTAAATGAATTGTGTCCTTTTTGCGACATTTCTTGCCACAGTTGTTAAACTAATAACACAGTTGTTAAGTGAATCATGTGACCATGTGGATGCTATAGTGGTTGTAAGTGTGAAAAATAACCATAAATCACATGTTTGTTGTAAATTCAAATATTCACTAAATAAACTGTTGTAAATCGAAGACTAATGTACATCCAGCTTACAATATATATATATTAAAAAATCTTTCCAAAAAAAACCTGTGACTTGGGACATTTGAAATGTGAAAGATAGATTAACACAGATCAAACTATTCAATATGGATCACATCGGAATTCCTTTAAATATCAGAATGGGAAAATAAAAAAAAATGATTTCTCTAATTTCAAACAATGGAAACATTAATCGTTTTGTGCATGTTTTTATGTCATATTAAATATTACCCTTACATGATACCCTTATATGGGTATCATGAATACTTGCTCAGTTTGTTTTCTGTGGATATTTTAACTAAGTTATTCACTGTAAATGTTTTAATTATTGATCTTATATAAGTTGCTATTAGTGTATTGGTTTGATGACATATTTATACTGTATATAAATAACTGAAAGAAAGGCAGATGGAGTCGTATATGTTCATATTTTTAATTAACATCTTACAACAAAAAGAGTTTAGGATGTCAACAATGGATAGAGGAATAAGGACAATGCTTTGTTTTCCATTTTTAAGGGCTGGTTGCAAGATGAGAAGATGTTAGAAGAAGCAACTCAGAAAGTGGCATTACTCCACCAAAAATATAGGTATTGGTTCTGAATTTTTGACATTGCTTCAAGTCTGAAAGTTGTCAGATGATTGCATACTTAATTGTTGCTATAAAATAGGGATTTGTTTAAATTAGGATTGATGATGAGAAATCTAGTTTCTATGTTAACAGAAATCTGCTTTGTTAGCCCAAAATCCTTAGCCCAAAATCCTTCTTTTGGCCCAGTGATTGAAATCTGGTGAATCTATTTATCAATCTTTTGAAGTAATAGCTACATCAAAAACACTGTAAGCTTACAGTAGGTTTAACATGTATTTTAAACTGTGATCCCAACAAATGAATGTAGGGAATATTTTCAGCATCTTTGTCCTGCTTGATGTGGCTCTTAGGCTACTGAAAACCCTGTTTATTAATAGTTGTAAATATTTAATGCTAGCTTCCATTGATCAGAAAGTCATGATAAATAGTGATAATCAACTGTGGTTTAAAGGGAAACAGTTTTGCTTTAATAATACTATTATACTTACAAATTGTTTGAATATGGAACATGGATGCCTTAGAATCATTAACTACAGTTTTTAGAGGCCCAACGTATTCTTTGCATTGGCCCCATGTTTGGAATTTGCAACAGATTTACTAAATTCTGCTTATGATACATTTGTAAGAGACCTGAAAATACAAATATCATTTTTGCTCCTTGTAATCGTTTGTATTTTGTGTGTTGTTGTATGGTTGGATTTAAATAAAAAACTATTGTGATTTCCTTATTTGTGGGTTAGTTTGTTTATATGAAGCAAATTACCAAACTTATTTAAGCCTATTACTGAATTGGCTTAATTTTTTGAATTTATTTTTTGAATTTCTAGAATAGATTGAATCATAAAATAACTCAGTAGTCTGAGTTCATAAGATATGGTAAACTATTGTATGTGTGTTTGTGCATATACATCTGTTAAGGTTATGAAGATTTAATAGCTGACCAGTTGCTGTAAGGCTGCTGTAAATGCTGATGCAATGAGGATGGGTCAGCAGGGTTATTGCCACTTTAAGAAGTTGAAGGGAGGCCATGAGAGGGTCTCTCTCTCTCCTCGTGTTCTATCTCCATTGTAGTTCTCCGTGTAGAGTTGAAGATTGATTGATTGATTGCGTGGTACGTGCCTAACATGTGTATGTATATAGCAGTCTTGTATATAAACCACTGTTAAAAGACAAAGCCTCTGTGTCCGGTGTTTTGCTCCTGGGTTGTCTCACAATAGTAGTCACGCTGCAAACATTCTGACATCTTTTAATCTTCATTGATCTGCTTTATTGTGTTTTGTTAGCGAAAAAAAATCACATTTTTGGAGCAATGTATTTATGTAAACTTCAAGCGATATACCCTATATTAATATAGACAGAAACTAAGAAACTAGTTAGCCAGTTAAGTTTTTTTTCCTTTCCTTTTTTTGAAGGGGCCTCACACCACCTGATGCAGAGATGTTATATATGCAAGAAGTTGAGAGAATGGAAGGTTATGGTGAAGAGACCTACCCTGCTAAGGTAAAAGTTAACTTTACTGAAGGCCTGTGTCAGTCAATGATGTACAAATATGATAATTTATTTCCCTGTTGCATTTTTAATTTTCTTTTTAAAAGTATACTTTCATCTTGTACCACTGATAATGTTTTTTGTTAAAACCTTTAGCAGAAACACTCAGATGTCAGTCCAGAAATAGGATTGAAATTTCCATTTAGAATGCAAAAATTTACACTGAAAATATTCTGGATTTCATGTTAACCAATAAATATAGCAAACATAGTCTTGTAATACATAAAAATTGTATTCTATATCTAGTAAACCTAAAAGGCAGGATTTCAAATATATTAAAAAATGAGTTCAGTACATTGACAATTTTGTGTCATCAGTGTGCAACTTACAGTTAGAAGAAGCTATGCAGGATCTTCCTGGAAGTAATAATATACTGGATGAGGGCAAACAAACTGAAGGTAAACTTAGATAATGCATTCTCAAGCCTAGGAATTAAGTAGGTGACTTATTCTGGAATAGGTACTTTATCCTCTGAGGAACAGGTTCATTATTGGGGGACTAATCTCAATTCCAAATTGTCACTAGAGGCCTTTCATTGGCCTTTCATTGGTAATGAAAAGATAAGCCTAATTTTCGCTGGTTGTAGGGTATAACCCTTCTGGACTAGGGTAGTCTGGCATCAGTCATCTATCCTCTATCCTCTAATAACTTCAGATTTAGATTACTATAATTTCCTTTTGTGGGCTATCTTTGAAGACAGCATGGAAGCTGCAGTTGTACAAAGCATAAGTATCTGATTGCTAAATGGATTGATGAATGAGATTGCACAACGCTGGTCCTGAAAACATTGTACTCATTGTCAGAAGGTTCCATAGTTGTATTTGAGGTGCAGACTTTAGTCTGTAAAATCCAAAAAGATGAGAACCCCAATATTAAAATAGCACTTAGCAATAGCACTTATGTATGACTTCACAGTGCTTTACAGCCCTCTCTAGGTGGTTTACAGAGTCAGCATGTTGCCTCCAACAATCCTCATTTTACTGACTTCGGAAGGATGGAAAGCTGAGTCAACCTCAAGCCAGTGAAAATCGAACTGCTGGCAGTCAGCAGAATCAGCCTGCAATTCTGCATTCTAAGCACTGCGCTACCACAGCTCAGGCCACCATGAGCTTCTCTGGGGCTATAAAATCACACCACAGAAGACTTTCCAATAGACCCACAAATTGATTTGGTTTACAGTGTGGTGAATCTTTTCAATTAAGGAAGTAACTTCAAAGGGAAATAAGGATGACCAAAAGCTGTCTTCATTTAGATGACAATTAAAGATGTATCCATTCAGCTTGGCAGATAGAAAATATTAGTAACTCTGGGATCTGTGTTTTTTGAATTTCATATTGCAGAGGCATCCCTAGGTAAGATATATCATTCCAGTATTATGCTTAGGAGGATGCCAAATGTTTTGGTATGCAAAAATGGCAAATACTATTTCTGGGCATGCACAGTGTGTAATCCAAATTAAACCAATAATTGGTTTATAGAACTCTTGTGTAATCCTGCAGGGATTGTGTATATTACTTCTTAAAATTACCTTTTAATTAGTTTTTCTATTATTTGGCAGGATTATTGGTTAATCATTTAATGTTATTTATGTTACTCTTTGATAAATTACTCTGATAATATTTTTGTAATAACTGAATGTTGAAAGCATTAATTATTTAGGGAATGTTTGGATAAGTGATGTATAAGGAAACAAAGCTATTTCCTTATTCTAGGAAGCATTGCCCTCAATAATAGCCTCAAACAGTCCTTTCTTGATTAGATAATTAGGTTAACCTGCTGGCATATCATTTTTGCAATATAATTTAAATGTTCATCTAGCTGTGGCTGAATGGTTGCCATACTAACATTAACAACTTACTTTTTTCATTATCATTATTTAGGATAGCCAAGGAAGTGACATATTCATCGGAGCTTGTCTCGATGGAATTTTTGTCAAGCATAAAAATGGTCGGCCTCCTGTAATATTTAGGTGAGTTTTTTTCCAAGCAAGATGGGAAGGTGATGTTTTATAATCATAATAATCTCTATGTATTAGAGCTAAGTAAGAACATGTTGCCGGTGCTAAAGCCATACAGGATATAAAGCTGTAGTCACACAACTAATGAGACCTCTACTGTGATTAATTGACATGCCATCAAGTCACATAAATAGATTTCCTCCATAATAATCTGTGCCTAAGCTGGTATTTCAGGTCTTTCAACAATGCACTCATCACCAGTGTGAGTCTATCCACCTTGCTGCTGATTATTCTCTTCTCTTTCCCTCCACCTTTCCCAGCATTAGAACCCTTCTCCAGAGAGCTAGTTCTTCACATAATGTATCTGAAATAGGATAACCTGGACCTGATTATTTGTGTCTCAAGTGGGAACTCTGGGTTGATTTGTTTGTTTCCTTTGCTGTCCACTGTATTCTCAGGGATCTTCAACATTAAGTTTCAAAAGCACCAATACTCTTCCTATCCTGCTTCTTCAGAGTCTAATCTGTGCTATGAAATTCTTGCTTATCTTTCAGTAATTACTGTAGGGATTATTAAGTGTGCAATATCTAACTTTGGATCATGGAAAGTGATTGCGTGTTTCTCCCTTCCAAGTTAATAGATAGGGTTCAAAATTCAAGAAATCAAGTTTAATTTTAAATCAACTGCCTTCAGTGAGAACCTCTTCCTGAAGTTGGGGGATCCCTACCTGAGAAAGTCTCAGGAAGAACACAGAAGGATAAGGTTCCAAGCACAGCTGGACAGGAAGATTGAGATCCAAAGACTTCTGACTCTTAACTACTTTTTCCTCCCATACTTCTATTTTTCCCATATCAATATGAAACTTAAAAGGCTTACAAAGATTCGAGGACACAGCTGTGATAAAATAAATTTACTAATACAAAAGCCTTTAGTAATAAATAAATTCAGCCACTGCAAACTCTAGGATTTAAATGACAGTTGCAGCAGCATCAGCAGCCTCCAGATTCAAACAGTACATCAGTTTTCCCACCCTTAGATTGTAATGAATTAGAGGCACTTGTTTCTCAGAAGAAGTAGCTGGCAGTGGTACATTGCTTCTGATCTCAGGCCACCAGCTTTGGATTTTGCCAGCTCTAGTTGCTGACCAGGAAGAAATGGAAGGGTAGCAAATGATGAGCCTTCTTCCCTGTTTGTAATTATGTAAGACTCTGGTGTATAAGATCTTTGTCCCTGACCTCAGATGGTGTTAGTTCAGTTTTTGCAATTCCTTGTGTGGAGACTAAAGCAAAAGTAAGCAACTTGATTATAGCTTTGATTATAGATTTGAAGTTGAAATATGGAAACTAACAGCTTCTGCAAATGTGTAATAATAGCAAATCAATATTTTTTTTTACACAGGGAACTACAACATAATTATGTGTGAAAGCTATGGGTGCTTAAGTTTCTGTCATTATTCTTTTCATATGCAGGTGGCATGACATTGCTAATATGACCCACAACAAATCTTTTTTTGCATTAGAATTAGCCAATAAAGAAGAGACAATCCAATTCCAAACTGTGAGTTTTTATTTTGGTACATTTTAAACAATTGTGATACGAGGAAAAAATCAGATTCTCTATAAATGAGAGTATATATAGATATGTCTGTGTATGATATATGAGTCTGTATGTATGTAGGAGAGAAAGTTTGTGTATCTGGTGACAGTCTCTTAATTTTTTATATTATTCTGCTATTAGAGCAAATATTAGCATAAGTTATATAATCCATTAGCAACCAACATATTTGGACAGGAACAATTATCTTCATATATTATCCCTACCAATATACATATATCTGTCATATGTTCTGCACTTTGTCACTATAGCATTCAGGGAATTAAAATTTACAGCTCTCTTAGGAGAACTCACTGCCTCTATGTTTTTTAAGAGGATGATTCCAAGCCAGATTTTTATAATGAAATAATTCTGCTTTATTCAGAGATATAGATAGCATCATATTTTTTCTATCTCTTGGTCTGTTTTTTCTCTTTATTTATAAAGTACTTGCCAGAAAACAGATAGCTCTGGTTATGGCAAAACATGATTTGTTATTATTATTTCTCTCAGTGTTTGGCTAATATTGCATTATTGATAATGTAATGCTGCTATCTTTTATATATTTTAACAATTTTATCAGTTTCATTGCACTTTTAAAAATGATTTATCACAATCCTACATTTATATGATAAAAGGCACATGCTTATTTTGAAAAGGAAGAAGAGTCTGCATCTGTTTCCTGTTTTGACAGCCATTTATTCCTATCTGTGTGTGAAGTAACTCTCACAGATATAAAAACATTTTTGTAATGAATTCTGAGGAAGTGCAGTATAAACCTATATTGTGATAATAGTATTCTACCTGTGGTATATGACTTGAATTAGTTTTGAGCTTGTTGCATTTGGTTGTTCATATGTGGGGATCATAAAGAAAGCATCTCTAGAGGCAGCAGGCATATGTATCGCAGGGGATTCTGCTTGTCTCTGCTCTGCATGACCTTTATGCTGGGCCCAACTAAGAACCTGCTTTGTTTCACATGTAACTTTTCTGTTTGACAGGAAGATATGGAAACAGCAAAATATGTGTGGAGGATGTGTGTGGCCAGACACAAATTTTACAGATTAAATAAATGTAGCCTGTAAGTACCATATCTTTCAGCTTCTTATCTGCATTTGATATTTATAAATAGTTAATTTATGGTATTTTCTTTTTGAAAGCATATTCCTGATTCTGTGACTTAATTATCTTAGACATTTTGCTTTCAGCATTCATATAAGCAGCTGTGTATGGTGAAAGAGGTTTTCTTGCTGCAGGCTCTGACTAAATGGATTGAACTGTGAGACAATATTACTAGCACATTCTAGAACTATTGTAGAAGAACTAGTGTATGGATTTGCAGTGCTATATGTGCTTATATAACTTATAGGCATCTAAATGCTTGAAACATCTGTAAGCATTGAGATGCCTTTAAGATTGTCAGATGGTTTTCCTAGAATCTCAGAATTTAAAAATACAATTGAAAGAAGTGACACGTGTTGTGAATGCTCCAACACTGGAAGTTCTTAAGAAGAGATTGGACAACCGTTTGTCTGAAATGGTATAGGGTTTCCTGCCTAAGCAAGGGGTTGGACTAGAAGACCTCCAAGGTCCCTTCCAACTCTGTTATTCTGTCATTGGAAATAAATTCCATCAGCTCCAAAGATACAGTACTTAGATTTCTAAATGAACATATTAAATTAATGACATCAGAAGATAATCACCACGGCAGTATCTGTTTCCAAGTTGACAGTCTGTGCACCATTTTAGTAGCCACATTCTGAATTGTTATACTTCTAGCAAGCCCTTTATCAATTTAAAGAGAATGATGGATCATGGTGCTGATCCATTCTTCATGTTCTGACTTTTATGAAGAAGAGCCAAGTGTACTGCATTTTGGGTGAAAGCATTCTTACTCTCTGACTTCTTTACCACTTCAGAGACTAACATTGATGGACAGATACTAGCTTGCCTTCTTTGGGGAAAGGACATACAGCACTGGAAACAGGGATCAGGGCTAGGCATAAGGTAGACAGTTGAATCAGTATTTGAATTTGTGTTTTTACTTGTTTAACACATTAGCAGACAGCCTAATTTCAGAAAAAAAAATCCCATGGCTTGGCCTCCGTAGGAGATGACATGCTGAAAGCTTTGCTGATCGGTTTGCCCACCATGATCAACTGGCTATCGATATAGAATTCCCTTCTAGAAGAAATAAAAAAGTTAAGTCTTCAGGACAGGTGCTTTGCAATAAACTAAAGGGATCAAAATGTACATGAAAGAACAATGGAGCTTAAAATATCTCTGGCGGATTATTGTAGAATATCTCTGCAGAAGATTGCAACAAGCAAAATAATTTCTGAAGTAGAGGCATTAGGAACAACTGAGAATGATGATTAGATTATATAGTAACATAACTTAACGAGCCTTTCCCAGATGTATATTTGTCTGAAAATAACTTAGGATATCAGAGGTAAAAACTCCAGGCTTGCAATTTTTTTAAAAAAAAAACAAATGATTATTACAATTATGCTTCTTAATGAATTTACCAGAGATAAAATTATTCAGGAAGTCCACAAGCAGAAATAAAAAAAAACTGGGAAAGGTTTTTCTAATACACGAGCCAAATTTCCTTACAAAAAAGAATTATATTCAAGTTTTTATCAGAATTGTTGTTAAAAATGGGAATTTACATTCAAGCTTATAATTTTGAAACCATTCATATGTTCAGGATATGAATGAAACTCTGGCATAGTTGAAGAGGACTCCCCCTGAGGAGTAAAAGGAACAATCTTGGAGATTAAAACAAGCAGATACAGATGTAAAAGACAAAGGGGAATTCAAACAGATGCAAGAAGAAAGGGGAAAAATAACAAATCGAACTCTTTACATTTAAAGTTAAAGATCTAGAATAGTATATAAAACTTGAACTAACTTGCATTAGGACAAGAATATATATTTCAGGTATAATTGATATTTTAAAACATATATATTTTATTAGGTGGAGAGGAGTCAGAGAGCAGGAAAAGACCTTCCCATTTATATTGAGAAGGGGTGTCCCCTTGATAATTCCATTGGTTCATTCTTGATCTAAGACTGAACAGGGAGGCAGGATTGATTAGGAGGGGAAAAATAGGTTATTAAAAATTTAGGGATCAATCTGGAAGGAAGACTTGTGGAGGAGGATGGATATGACTAGGTCTGGAAATTTCAGAGGGAGAAAAATAGAAGCAAGATTGTCTCTCTTTATGTTCCAAATAGTTTGGCGCGTTAGGAAGGCTTCTGCCTAAGTCATATCTGAATGTTATTTTGTACTTCTAGATTTTTTTAAAAAACTGCTTCAGCTGCTTTTGTTTAGATAATGATTCCTGCATTTCTCCATCAAGTTAATCTGTTTACTCCTTTTTGGATTAAGTGTTTTTAAGACATATCTTTTTTTTTTTTTTTTGGAAGAATGTGTTTAAAGAAACATATAAGCAAAAAAAAATGATTCAATTCGCTCCCAAATGTAAGTTTGGGGGCCAGAATTGCAAATTTTAAAAAGAAACTTCAATAGGTTTTTTTGTACATTGCAGTCAAATTTGTTGTTATTAAACAATGAATAGTGGATAGATGCATAATAACATCTGGTCTATAGTTTTATTTGATGAAGTTTCTGATAAAATAAATTGTATGACAGGCCAAAGTAGCGGAGAATTGTTTTACAAGAAATAATGGAATGCCATTGTTCATATAAGAGATAGATACCCTGGAAACAGTTTGTAATAAACATTATGGGCATGTTAAAATGTACTAGCAGCACTAAGTACACTTTTGAAATTCATTTTATAAAAATGTAAACAAAGAAGAAGAAAGAAGTCTGCTTCAAAGAATAGCCAAGAAATGGAAAAGGAGTTATGGGGATAGGCACCACATTTGTTAACTATAATAGGCATTACATTCTGTAGGCACTATTATAGGCACTATTATAGTGTCTATAATAGGCATCACATTATAGTGGCTATAATAGTGCCTACAGAATGTGATGCCTATTATAACAAATGTGATGCCTATTATAGTATTTTTTTATTTTCCTTCTATGACTTAAAACCCTCCATGCTGTAAATAATCAAACGCCTTTGCAAAACTTGGTTCTAGAAAACCATAACTTCATAATCTTTAGCTATCTTTTTCCATTTTTTTGCACTTTCCTATTAGAAATATTTTAAAGCTTTTGCAGAGAGAGGGGAACTAATCTATTTTAAGCCATAAAGTGTAAAAGAAAGAGAAGGGGGATTAATTGTACTAGCCAAAATTGCCAGAATTTCAGGGTTGATCCTTGACAGTCTGAGGGTTACAAAATGAGACTGTTGGGGGTGCTTTTGCTCTAGTTCAGGGGTGTCCAACCTTGGCAACTTTAAGACTTGTGGACTTCAACTCCCAGAATTCCTCAGCCAGCAAAGCTGGCTGAGAAATTCTGGG